CGCTGAGCAGGGAGCCTGATGTGGGGCTCGATCCCAGGACCCTGAGATCATGACCTGAGCCGAAGGCAGACGCTTAATGACTGAGCCACCCAGGCACCCCTATATGTAACATTCTTAAAAGGAAAAATTAAAAGACATTTCTATTTTAGATGTCATACTCATGCAGCTAAGCCATTGAGAAATATCTTTGCTACTGACCAGATTGTTTGGCTTAGTTTGAAATGAGTTTGTTCTGAAAAATATGTATATATTTTTAAAAATTTACATATATACATATATATATAATTGGAAATGGAGGGTTTTATATAGATATATAAAATGTAGGGTTCAACATTTGTTGGATTCTTCTATTCTGGGTTTCCTTTTTTTTAAAACTCTTGTGAATTATGACTAAAAGGAAAACAAAAACAGGGCACTTGTTTTCTGTTAATAGAGGAAGGTGCAGCTCAGTACCCCTAACAGTCCAGGAAATGAGACTAAAATGATATGGCTTATATATATTTTACAAGGTAGATTTATCAGGTTTGAAAGTAAGGTACAAAGTAGGATATAAGATGAGAATATTTTCAGAATGTACTTTGATTTCTCTTCAAGGATCATGCTGAGTTTATTAAAATCTCTTTTGTGATTTGTACTATTAGGAGGCCTTACATCGGGAACAGATGTTGGAACAGAAGTTAGCCACACTTCAGCGGCTACTAGCCATCACCCAAGAGGCTTCAGATACCAGTTGGCAGGTATTCCAGTTGCCTTTATATACAAGAAGCATTTAAGTATAGTTTAATATCCCTTAGATGTTGATTAAAAGTGAAATTTTTTAGCAGGCAAAGGCAAACTTATTTCTTAATGACCAAATATTGAAAATTTAGCATTTTACGGTGGATGTTGGTCAGTTTTATGATTTCATATCTTTTTTTGGCAGTAGCAACCTTTTTGATATGTGTAATTTTTTAATTACCCTGGGATTTTATTTATTTAATTTTTCTTCAACAGGCTTTAATAGATGAAGATAGACTCTTATCACGGTTAGAAGTTATGGGAAACCAATTACAGGCATGCTCCAAAGTAAGTATTAATCTCAAGTAAAGATCCATAAAGAAAAATGCATTAACTATGCATGAAAATGCATAGTTTTTTATTTAGCTTCATTTCTTTGACTGTCATTTTGAGTACATGCTAAAACGTTTATATGTTTTCACCATTCTTTTAAATTTTTTGTCATTAGAGGAAATTTCAAACACACATTAAGGAGAAAGAATTGTATATTGAATACCCATATACAACTCTTTCTTTTTTTTCTATCACAGTTGATATTTGCTGGAGAAACTGGGTCATTTGTCCTCTATAATTTCCCTAAATCTGGATTGTTATTTACATATTCTTCTAGCTCTCCTCCCACACCATAAACTGGTAGTTTGATCTAGAGATTTGATCTGATTTAGGTTCAACTCTTTTTTCCAACAGTACTTCATGAATAGTATTGTGTACTTTCACCAGAAGGCACCATAATATCTAGTTGTCTTTCTTTTTGAGATATTAGCAATCTTTGATGATCCTTGCCTAGATCCATTATTAAGGCTTGCAAAAATGGTCATGTTGTAGTTGTTATTTCTTCATTTATTAGCTGGATTACTTCTATAAATACTTCTATTCCCCCTCATAAACCATTTTGTTACCCTGAAGTCATTTTCTCTAGGAAAAGGATAAGTGATTTTCTCCATTTATTTACTGGATTTCAAAATAATGAGTTGGTTCCTTCTCATCTACCAAAGAATGACCATGAAGTGTTTTTTTTCTCCAAACTTAGGTTTAAATATATTTCATGTGTTTCAGCCTGTTCCATTTGTTGTGGTTATTGATGCTCAAATTATCCCATCTTTGGTTCCTGAGTCCTTTGGTAGAACCCCAGCAAACTTTGATCGCCTACTGCTGTCATTTTAGACAAGGTGTTCCAGACTCATCTTGTACATTTCCTGCCTCAGAGCTGGAGTCAGCTTTTTCCTAAGGGTGCTCTTATTCCTTTTGGTTTAACCATTGTTTTAAGATGCTTGGCCCCTTTGAAAGTAAGAGATTATTTTTACCCACAAATGTAAATATTGTGGCTTACAGAGAGTATGACAGATAGGAGACTTAATTCATTTTGTACATTTGAAAGAAATTCTCAATTTCCTTTGACATTTTTTTTTCTATCAGAAGTGTGGATTAATGTATTTGTGAAGGCATAATTTACAGTGCAATTTTTAAATACATCATTTGTATTTGGAGGTACCTTAATGTAGAATTCAAAGAACATCATAATGTGTTATTTTTCCAAATGGTAAATACTTAAAAAAATTACTTGGCTATAATTATAAATATCTTCTAATCCTAGAATCAAACAGAAGATAGTTTACGGAAGGAACTTATAGCATTACAGGAGGATAAACACAACTACGAGACGACAGCCAAAGAGTCCCTGAGGCGGGTTCTTCAGGAGAAAATTGAAGTGGTTAGAAAACTTTCAGAAGTTGAGGTATTTCATTTTAACAAATACAAAATGGTAGTATGATTTAAAATTTTTAGCCTAAAATTGCTAATATTTTAGGACATTTTAAACTTGAGTATTATATAGTTAGGAAATATTTCCTGTCTATCAAATGGGAAGGGATAGTAGCCTGTTTTCATTGTTAGGAATTTTCATTGTAATCATGTGAGTCTGGTGCTTGTGGTTTCTACTCGGTGACTGAGCAAATAAAAGCCTAATCAGAGGGAGTCTTAACCATGTGCATTCTGCTTAGGATTTGGCCTCTCACACAGTGGACTGTGATATGTGCCAGGGAATTGATCTCCTGTCACCTAGTTTTTGCTTTTCTTCCAATTGAGGATAGTTAGTGGAAGGTGGAGAACCTTACCACTGTTCTTATTTACCCATCCTCTAGAGAAGAAAACTGTGTCTAACTTTGGAGGTCAAAGGGAAAATATCTCTGAGGTCCTTTCTTGGTCTTTTAGGAACAATCAAAATGTGATTCTCATTGCTTTAAAAACAACCTCATTGATAATGTAGGTCATTCGTTGAACCACTGCTAAATTACCACAGAAGTTATTTGTTAATGAATTTAGTTAAAATGCCCATTGTAAACAATAGTAAAAATACTATAGTATATAGTATATACTCTAGAATATGGTATAGTAATGGTTTCTATAATAGCCTCATCCCATAGTAACTAATTCAGTGTTGTGTCATTAATTTGACATGCAAGGAAAGAAAATTGTTAGCTGTCTTCTAATTTTCTTATTAAGTTGATTGTGCCTATTAGTAACTTGCTTTCAAGAATTGATAAGCTTAAAATATTTTCAAGTCTAAAAGTCATACCCAGAGGCCTTTTAAAAGAGTAGTTATGTAAAAGTAACATCCTTTCCTCCCCTGCTCCCTTTCTGTTGTTTTGTTTCGTTTTTCAAATTTTTTGTTGTATTTTCTGTTTTAGCATGTACCTAAAGTAAATTAAAATTCTTATGTTGTTTAACTCTTATATAAAGGCCAGGGCAGATGTTAATTTTGAACAGCCCATATAATTAACACTTTTTATAAGTTGAATTTAGAATGTGCATTTATTCTAAATCAGTTATCTGTAAACTTGAATTACAGCGAAGTCTGAGTAATACTGAAGATGAATGTACCCATCTTAAAGAAATGAATGAACGGACTCAGGAAGAATTAAGAGAATTAGCCAATAAATATAATGGAGCAGTTAATGAGATTAAAGATTTATCTGATAAATTAAAGGTATGTATTTACTCAACCTGAAAGTGTGTTAATAGTCCCTAACACACTGGATAGATTAAGAGGTTAGGTATTGCTGAATAGTTGTTGATGTAAAATTTGGTAGTAGTTGAAATTTGTAGTAAAAATAAAATGCCATTTAGCCCAAACCCCATTGCCACAGATAATTGAAAGTCTGTAAAAGCTGACATATTTTCTCTAGATGGAAATAAATAGTACTTCACAACAGGCATCTTTTAATATATAACAGGAAGTAGATGTAAATCAGCAAACCGGGGCGTCTGGGTGGCTGAGTCATTAAGTGTCTGCCTTCGGCTCAGGTCATGATCCCAGGGTCCTGGGATGAGCCCTGCATCGGGCTCCCTGCTCAGCGGGAAGCCTGCTTCTCCCTCTCCCACTCCCCCTGCTTGTGTTCCCTCTCTCACTGGGTCTCTCTGTGTCAAATAAATAAAACTTAAAAAAATAAAATAAAATAAATCAGCAAACCCCAAGATATTTAGACTTTTTAAAAACTTGAATCTGCTTAACCGTGGGCAGCCCCAAAGGCAGAGCCCAACTACGTTAGTTCTGGAACAAGGCCAGAAGTAACCTTGGAGTCATCTGTATGGACCCTCGTAGCCTCCAGGGATGCTATTAACTGCTTCAGCTGCAGCTCCCTGTAGCTCTAGGGCATTTAGGATAAGGACAGGTGAGGCCATACATAATGTCAAGTTGGTCCTTTAAATGTTATAACTGAGTTTGTGAAGACCCATCTTTAAATAATTCAAACCATGGAATGAGTGGCTAGAAGACACATATTTGTTAGAGAAGACCAGGGCATCCCTCCTTCTGTGTGGTTGGTGAACCTGTAATAGTTTTAAAGGTTGGTCTTATTAAAAGGAGGTCATTTTGAAAAGTGCTTATTATCATCATTCCTTCAACTAAACACAGTTTTGTTTAAAATATCAGAGTAGGGCGCCTGGGTGGCTCAGTCGTTAAGCGTCTGCCTTAGGCTCAGGTCATGATCGCAGGGTCCTGGGATCGAGTCCCACATCGGGCTCCCTGCTCGGCAAGAAGC